GACTATTCTTTTTATTCGTATTAAAGTATGGCCAATTCAATTTGCACTCTTTGTCGTATAGAGTGCAAATGGAATTGGTCGTGCTTCAATCATTCAAATTCATATCTTTCTGCCTAACCGAATAGCATATTTTGAAATTGGATACGAGCAGCGTGCGATTCAACGTTACGAAATTTGTTTGATTCTATTCGAAATTTCCGAAAAAGGAAGAGACATCATTTAGAGGATGATTTGTTTCAACAAAGCAAATAAATTCATAACAGCCCATCATTCTAATCGCTTCTCTCTGATCTCCATCATTTTTGAGCGTTCACCTCTTCACTAAAGGGATTTTTTATTCTTTTGAAACGGGAATTTATGCTAATGCGATCATAAAGTTATGCAAATGCTTTGTTGTTATGTCCGACTGATTTAATTTTTGATCGCGCATCACTCCTTTTGCGTCATCCCAAATGCTTTTACGCTGACATAAGACGACATTCTAAGATGACCAGCATTCTTGAAAACCATCAATGAAGAATTGCGATTGAAATCTTAAGGGAATCTAGTTTTTAATATGATTTTTAGTTGCAAATTTGTCTCAAACCCAATGAACACAACATGGAATAAAACTTCAGCTTAAAATTATTGTTATCCAACTGCAAGTTCACAATCAAAGATTTGAAACCTCTAATTGTGCCAATCTCGCCAGCAATAATGTCAACGTAGAATATATTATAACACTGCAACAATTAAGGATTGTTAAACTTTTTAAGTCATTAGTGAAGGATGTTGGTAATCACATCAAAAGAGTATACAATAAATGATCAGTTTCAATAGCATCGCATTTTCATCCGTAAAACTTTCATTATCAGTACGATCACAGAGTTGAGTCAGTAAAATGAATCCATTTAAGGCTTGGAGTTTATTGTATCATAGTTGGTTGACGTTTGTTTTGATGATAATCTCGTGTGTTGTCTGGATGTACCCGAATTCACAACGATTCTGTGCGAAAATTTCGCCATACATCGCCTTCTATGCTCAAGTCAGTTGTTTCACGGAAATTGTTTTCTCGCCGCAAATTGCCCAGTTTTCAACGAGTCCACCTCATTCATTCGTTTTGCTGATCAATCAATAAACTTTATCTGATCTGCGACAAAACGTCAAAGCAATGAAGTGAACGGAAACAGTGCAGAATTGCATAAATAGTAAACTCGTTTACATAATTTTCATCTCTTATAGATATTCTATGTCCAACATTAACGCTTGGAATCAGTTTCAGGCGCTAGTCCTTATTCAGTTCATATACAGCCTTGATTTGACCCAAGCCGAACTTCCTGACGAGAATCCAGGTTTTTTGAGACAGGTCACCACCATCATCTTCACATTTCTTACTGAAAACATTGCTCGTAATTCACGATAAACAAAGAAAGGAATGTAATCTAGAACAAAAACAAATTAGAAAGCCACAAAAAATCGAAGATATATTCGGTAATTCACACGGTCAAACGATGCCAATTTGAATAGTCCGTAAAAAGGCGGACATGTGTATCAGTGTATTTCATCAAAAAACTGCGCTTCAAGCAAAACACATCGAAACATCGTTCTTTAAACCTACTCGAAATATCAGAACGCCTCGAAAAAATATCGTTACATTTCACAGTGCTAATTCTAGACTCTGTATCAAATCATTGTGATGTCAAAACACGAGCAGATTAAAATGAAACTGAACCTCGGCGATTTGCAGATCGGATTTGAGAAGCCACGAACTGCACCGCCCTGCCGTTCGATTCTATTGAAATTCATGTTTACAGTATTGTTTTGGATTACTGTCAAACAACGAACGATCGAGAAACGTCGAGGAGAGGCAGTGGCAGGTGGTGAAAAGAAGCCCGATGTCGCTGAAAAGCTCACTGAAGAATCAGCGAAAGGTGCGATTGAATGTTACTTTTGAAGGTCAAAATAAGCTGTACTTGTGAGAAATGGTCATGTATCATCTGGTTGAGAACATATTCCCAACTGCCTATGAGCAATTTGCCGATGAGAATCGAGTACTTAATGAACCATTCAGATGAGCGATCTGCTTTCAAAATAACATCAAATCCGACAATATCGTTTATTCGTCATATGATAACGAAATATTGGGTGGTCGTTAATCTGTGCCTTCTTTTGGCTATTTCACTTCATAATCCGGTCGTAATCTATCGGATCATTTATATGGCATTCTTTCAAATTTTTATCAACTGCTTCCAGGTTAATTGTTTGAACATTATTCCTCAGTCAGATTATGAATTAAATCTCAAAGAAGGATGTAATAGTTATGAACGCAAGTGCGTGAAAATTTATCAATGACTAGTACATTTTCAAAGCAATTGATCATAGATTCCCTTGAATTTAGTGTTCGTCTGAAATGGAGCATGAATTATCCATTAAGTCGTGCTTAGGGAAGCTGCTCCTACTCTTGAAGGACTGTCAGCAGAAAATGGTCAAGAATTTCTGTAACTGATTTTTGTAAGAGAGATAGATATGCAGCCAGCGAAGCATTTTCGCCAGTAATCTAATCTTTCTCAGGCGTCGAAACCTTCACCAGAAGGCTCATTCGCCAGAAGGCTCATTTTTTGCTTGATCCATCCCAAGGGAAATACTGCCTAGAGTATACCATTCATTTCACTTACGCTTTCCGTCTGATCTTGCTAGTGACTGAACCCGGTAATGGTATCTTCAGATATCTTTTCCAACTTGGCGACGATCACTGTACGCCTTTTGGACATTCATGGTCGGTTACTGTATGTTTGTATTGTCGCTAATTTATACATTTCAATTTCATGGATTTCCGAAATTGTACAATCAGTATTTGGGAATGTCCGAAGATGTGTTAGTATTTTCGTTATTCGATCGTTTGCCTATTTAATATTTTGATCATTTGATGATACTTCTCGAAGAAATATGAACTAAGGCGTGATTCCAATTGAATTGATACCAGATGAATAATTAACTTCATAATTCATGATGGATACCTGAAAGCGGTATCAGGCTCTTCGAAAATCTTCGAATGGAGCAGTATGAAAACCGTCTTTGAGTTTGGAAGTGTGTCATGGATTCAGTTAACCGTATTGATTTTGAAAATTTTCAGTCTAAAATCAATCGGGCTCGAACGATTCTCTAGTGGTCGGCTGTTTGTGAAGCTCTTAACACCGATCAGTTTCCTCATATTCACGCTCATACAGATGAACTTTTTCCACGAAAATCTTATGGAAAGAACTGGCAAATGGGAAAAGGTACAGCGAACGTTTAATGTGTTTCGCTCTGCATTGTATCAGTTGAAAAGCAATAAGGCCAATTCATGCTGCATTCGATGGCTTTTGTTACGATTAGATGAATATGAAGGAACAAATCATTTGTTTGCAGGCCTTCTATCATAATCGATCACGCCTAGCCACAATGCTGGGCAAATTTCATAAGAGAAACGTTGGTTTAATGAATGTTTTTCTGAAAGGTGCCGTTTTTAAACGTAGTGCCAACAAAAAGTATGATCTGCTTTTTTTTCGTTATATTTCATTTAAATTCGTCAATGTTTTATGTCAAGTACCATGAAGACAAACAATGGCATAATTTTTGTTCCATATTCAAGACAAATTTAGTGGAACTGAAGAANGTATTGATTTTGAAAATTTTCAGTCTAAAATCAATCGGGCTCGAACGATTCTCTAGTGGTCGGCTGTTTGTGAAGCTCTTAACACCGATCAGTTTCCTCATATTCACGCTC